TCATTATATAGGTTCCCCTTTCTTGGAAATACTGTCTATACTGTAGCAGGGGTCACCAACATGGTGCCTGCGGGCACCAAGATGCCCCCAAAGACCACATGAGTCGCCCGCGGACCTGTTCTAAAAATAGCACAACTCACCAGTGAGCAGCGTCTAAAATTTAATTTTATCCTGTTGCAATTCTTCTTTAATCACATTTGCATTTACATAGATTTGAAAATGACAATATCTAAAAAAAAAGCATTTAAAACATGTTTATTATACATGAAGCTTAGATAAGGTTAAGAGGGTGTTTCAAACTGGTAGCCCTTCGTATAGCTCAGTACCCGTGAAGTAGCTCTCAGTTTCAAAATGCTTGGTGACCCCTGTTCTATAGCAATAAGACAAAGTTATTATTATCTCTGTCTGTATATCTTACATGGCCATCAGAATTCCTCTCAACCTTAAAAATCACCTCAAGACCCTCTTCCAGTGACAGCTGCATTACTAGATCAATGTGAGTTCATTGTTAACATTTCTCTGGGAATATTTATGACTTTCTCTGTAATTGGGTTATACTGTGCTAGAAACAAAGCAAGTGTAAATGCAATACCATATTGAAGACACTATGTTCCTTATATATCATGAAGATATTTTTATACAGTTGTACATAAAAATTATACCACAATGGGAAAATCCCTACAAGTAACAAAACTTATAGGGAAAAAAGTTACAAAACATGGATAGACTTCAAACATAAAAAAATCAAATTTTAGTGTTATAAATATCATATTTCCAATGTATTTTGTTAATAATTTTATTTTACATGCTAGTACAATTTTTAATACGATAAAAAAACATAAATCATACAAATCTAAAACTGCAGAAATTTCTTCAGTTACATAGATTCTATGTCTAATTATTATGATTACTACCATGAATGATGTTATCTATTCATTTGCCATTATGATATTACATTTGAAGCGTTCTTTAATGACTAACTTCTGTTATTCACGACACTTTCACTTGGCTCCTGGGTTTCTAAGCCTACATTTTCTTCACGCTCCTGAAACACACACACACACACGCACACACACATGCACACCCACACACACAAACACAAACGTTATTGTATAATTTCAAGTTTTTAAATCTTTTTGTCTCTCATTTTGTTAAATAAGAACCATTCACAGTACATGATATCAAAATAGATATTATGAGTTTTAAAAAAAAATAAAATTTTATACATTAGGGCAGTACCACTAATGTATCTGGGCAGCTTACCTGTTCTTCATCTTTGAATGTTCGAGGAATTTTTTCGCAAACTTTGTTTCTGCATTCAAACACTTTTTAAACCCACCATTTTTCATTGTAACACTAAAAAAAGGAAATGTGAGTAGATAATAGTAGACTCAATAATAAATTATAAATGCAAGCATAAAAAAACACAGATTTTGAAACATCTTACATGATCTCCATTTTCTGGCAAAATGAACTGGGTCTATGGAGCACAATCTTTGCAATGTTCCTTGGTTTAATGAAGTTCACTTCAGCATTGCTGCACAGACACGTGCTTTTGGGCACAATCATCATGCCTATAAAAAGTGCAAAAAAATAAATCACAAAATCGCTTACCATAAAAGCCTTATTAGATGTCATTAGACTTGCGTTCTGCAAACATTTTAAGCAAGTAAACAAAGGCACAGTCAACAGCATATCCGTCAGTATGCACTGCCAGTAGTTATAAATAATCCTTTACATCCTGTAGAACACCTATGAATAAAACGTAACCATAGATTTATAGTAAATACTACCTTCATTGTATTCAACCAGGAGACATACAAGCAGAATGAAAACAAATAACTTCATTGCTTTTACAGTGATGGGAAAAGAGCCAATCAGCTTGAGTGAGATTACTATGGATATTTGATTGGTGCCAGTTATATTTATACTGTTGAATGGGGTGAGAGGGTGGGACAAGTGAGACTGGCCTCTTTGAGTCCTAAAAGTGACCATTTAGCTCTCTATTATTTGGTTTTCTGAGAAACATTATCTTTCACAGGGAGAAAAATGCTGAGAGAAGAGCAAAGTTACATCACGGACCAAGGTGGATTTGGGGCGATGGCGAGGCATGATGCATGCTGAACAGAAATGTGGACAACCCACTTGCGGCTCGCAGGAACAGAAGGGGTTTATTGAGCAGAACAGAAAACGCTACAAACAAAGAGGGGTCTGAACTAAAAGGGATAAGCAAAGATTAACAGAAGTAACAGAACATCCAAACTTCATACATACATCTAACAGCAAACAGCAAAACAACAACAATGAACCACTGGGGAACTGAAGTCAGGCAGGAACTTAAATACTGAGGGGAAACAAGACTAACAAAGGGTGGATGAGCTGACCCTGACAAGTTATTTTAATTCACCAATGAATTTAACTCATTGGAAGGCACTTGTGTCACACCTCTGGGACCAGGGTTTGAGTCTCTCTTATGGTTCCATGTATGTGGAGTTTGCATGTTCTTCCTATATCGTCGTGGGTTTCTGCTGGGTACTCTGGTTCCCCCCACATGCGCATGCTGAGATCAATTGGAGTTGCCAAACCACCCATAGGTGAGAATGATGTGTGAGTGTCCCCTGTGTTGGGTTGGTGCCCCATTCTGGGTTGTTCCCTGCATGCACCTATAGCCTACAGGATGAACAATACGCGCTGTGTAATTGCTACTGCTGTTTGCCACTATTCTTTTGGGTAACTCAGTTATACCTGTTTGGCATAATATATTCAGATACAGCTCTGAAAAAATTTAAGAGACGACTTTATATTTTTTTAAAAATCTGCATTCTTAAATCCAAAGGCTCAAAGTTTCTAAGACAACAAGGTGAAGCAGGAGACACTGGCAATGACCAAAAACTAGCCAGGCAGAGGGCAGAAGCGACGTTCTAATGCCAGAGATGAACGTCCAGCGATGCCTCATAAATCACAGGATGACCACAAGTGACCTTCAAAAAGAATGGGAAACATTAAGTGGCATGAAGTGCACTGCTAGGACTATTCACAACACGCTCTCAAGATTGAAGGACCTATAAAGAAACAAAGAAGCCCTTCATCAATGAGTAGCAGGGAAGACAAGCTGGAGTTTGCAAAAAAATGTACAGTATATTTTACACAGGCGTTTACCAAGAAATTGAATAATGAGTGAATATTTTGCTGCCATCTCTTAATATTTTCCAGAGCTGTATGTATATATACACACACGCAACAATAACAACAGCAGCCTCAGCACAATAAGATAGATAGATAGATAGACAGACAGACAGACAGATAGACAGATAGACAGATAGATAGATAGATAGATCCAATTACGGATGTGGGTGTTCAGCCCTACATTTTAGAGCTTGATGGTGAGCTTTGAGGGCATAACATGAATACTGCATGCAAACCAAAGAACAACTAAGATGGAAAACAATACTTACTCCATATTTTTCTAAAGAAGGTAAGGACCTCTGGGGGGGTCCAGGATCACCTGGTTGTCTGACACCCACCGCCAGAGAGGAAACAGTGGTATTTGTTGTGTAATACTGTAGTATCTCCTGTTATGCCATTAGCAGGCAATCACACCTGTAAGTCGGCTCCCTTTTCGTTCTCACAGAAAAAAGCTCTTCGGCCGCCACTAACCAGTATGTCTGCTGGTGTTCATGGTGTGACTTCATTTGACCTACAATAACCTGTTTCATTTAAGGATATCAAAATGATTTCCATAAGTGAATCTACAGACAATGCAGTTTTTGTTTTGCCAGGCTAGTTTTTTCAGAGCGAGAATCAAAAGTGAAACTGAAATGAAACGGACATAAAACAATAAGTCATTTTTATCCATATCAGATGTCCCTGCACAATATTCACAGATGGCAATTATGTTAAGGTTCCATTATGTTACAAGTACGTGACACAGCTCACTATCTGGCACCAGGTGGAAAAACATTTTCTTTTTTTACTTTATGAACAGTAATAACCATGTAATATTAATAAATGGATATTTTTCTTATATTCTGTTCATTAAGTATTGTGTAGTGGCCAGTATAGATTCTCCAGAGCACTCGAGAGATAGAAAGAACATGTAGATACTAAAAGCATTATTCAGATTATTCAATACCAGCTGAAGTACATGTGGAAAATGCTGATGGTGAGTAAACTGTAGTATATTTTGCCTGATGTTTCACTACTTTAGCCAGTCCTGTACATAAGGGGTAAGATGCATTTTATCAGGAGAAAATCGATAGCAAGTTAGTACATGGTGTGGCCACTAGTGCCTCCAGACTATTGTGATTACGCCACTTTGACTTTGGATATGGAAGTCCCCTTGCAACTGAAACCATTAAGGAAACTCCCTCCACCAGGCTAAAAGTGGAGCAATATGAATAAATCTCATGAAGAAGCAGTGATTTACCGGAATGGCTCTTTACTGCAACATACAATGTCAGTAAAATAAATTTTAAAACCCAACCCACTCTAGTGGTTGCTAACTTAGGGCTGTACAATATGCACCAGCACAGAAAAGCGCAAAAAATACCTCTTAGTGACAGCAAGCGTTCCATATCACCCTTACACTCCAGCCATATACCAGTACCAGATCTTAACTTACAACTGCCTGGAAAAGTAAAACTGTTTAGTATGCTTAAACAAAATAATTTCCTAATACAAAATGTTTTTTTTCTAAAATGCTGCCAGAAAGTTACCTGGCCCCAAGACTTATATTTTGTCATGCTTTCTATTGAGTGTTTATGTGCTTTCATGTAATCAATGAATCAAAATGCTCAGTTATGTTAGTCGCTCAAGGTACACTACCATCTTCTCCACACTAAAAAGCACACTATTGTACCTTTATAGCAATGTACTCAGAGTGACACATGGGACAGCAGAAGAAGCAAAATGGACACTACCAGTCAAAAGCTTTTGCACACACTGAGATTTTCTACATTTGCGTGTTACTCACTTAACGTTTACTAAAAACAGACGCAATATTTTTTGCTAACAAGTACATTTACAGCATGTTCACCACTTGAGTACCTTTATTAGCAAGAAAATGTCATATCTTTGATTCACCACAGTAACTTCCACTAGCAGTTATAACAGCAGAGAACATTTGATGCATTCTTTCTACAAGGGACATTAAATACTGCTCTGTTTCATGGGATGAAACAGTTAACTAGTGCATTTAAAGTTAAATGACAGTATAGAATTTGACTCTGCCATCACCACACAACCATTTAATAGGATGTCAGACATGCACTGTTACATACTCTTTCCATGTTATAAAGAAAACTTGTTTTATTTGACTTATATTTTCATTTATAGATGTTCACTCAACTTTACAATGCTTAACAATGACAAAAAATCTGCAGTTTATGAAATAAATGGAAAAGTGGCAAAAGCCTGTGGTGTGCAAAAACTGGTAATGTACCATAGTTTATTTACAAAGACTTTATCTTCTATGAAAGTTTAAGATGGGAATTACCAAGAATATCAATCGAGAGGTTTTGAACAAAGTGTCAATTCATTTCAAGCTATGCACATTCTTTTCATCCAGCAGAATTTTGGAGAACAATTGCACTGTTTAATACAGGAAATGTCAGTTGTCAAATGATTATAATGTGGAAATATCATGCTCCTATTCACTATATCACTCCTCCCACGCCCGGGTTTTTGCTTGTGCGACCGGTACCCGTCAGCTGCCTCCGGAGACCCCCGGGCTAATAATTCCCGGTAAGCCTCCTTCTTCAGCTTGACAGCCCCCCTCACCTCTGGTGTCCACCATCGGGTACGGGGATTACCACCACGACTGGCACTTACCACCCTGCAGCCACAGCTCCGTACGGCCGCTTCCACAATGGAGATCAGTTGACAGCTCTGCCCCTCTCTTCACCCGAGTGTCCAAGACAGAAGGCCGCAGATCAGATGATACGATTATGAAATCGATCATCGACCTGTAGCCCTGGGCATTTTCGTACCATGTCCACTTATGGACACCCTTATGCTCGAACATGGTGTTCGTTATGGACAAACCATGCATTGCACAGAAGTCCAATAACGGAACATCACTCGGGTTCAGATCATGGAGGCCGTTCCTCCCCCTTCCAGGTCACACTGTCATTGCCTACATGAGCATTGAAGTCCCCCAGCAAAATGATGGAATCCCCTTGTGGCGCCCTAACCAGCACACCACTAGGGGAATCCAAGAAGGCCGGGTACTCTGAACTGACATTCGGCGCATAAGCTCAGATGACAGTCAGAGACCTATCCCCGACCCGAAGGCGCAGGGAAACAGCCCTCTCGTTCACCGGGGTAAACTCCGTTGTTAATGCACCGAGCTGTGGGGCCACCAGTAGCTCCACCCCAGCCCGGCGTCGCTCACCCACCGCAACTCCAGAAGAAAAGAGCGTCCAGCCCCTCTCCAGGAGATTGGTTCCAGAACCCAAGCTATGCGCTGAGGTGAGCCTGACTATATCTATTCGATATCTCTCAACCTCACGCACAAGCTCAGGCTCCTTCCCCACCAGAGAGGTGACATTCCTTGTCCCGAAAGCCAGTTTTGTCAGCCGGGGATCGGACCGCCAGGGCTCCCTTGGCCGCCACCCGATCCACAATGCACCGAACCACTGACATTCCCCTTGCGGGTGGTGGGCCCACTTGGGGACAGTCCCGCGTGCCTCTTTCGGGCTATGCCCGGCCGGGTACCACGGGCCAAGGCCCGGCCACCAGGCGCTCGCCAACGGGCCCCTCCCCCAGGCCTGGCTCCGGGCGAGGGAAACGGGACTTCGTTAGAATACCTTAACATAGGGTTCTTTTGGATTGCTCTTTGTCTGGCCCCTCCTCTGGGACCTTTTTGCCTTGGGAGACCCTACCAGGGGCTATTGCCTCCGACAACATAGCCCCCAGGGTCACTGAGGCATGCAACCCAAGGAGGGGAGGAAATTATTTATTGGCAAGAACTAATTATTATTATTATTGTTATTATTATTATTATTAACAATAATAATGATAATAATAGTCATAATAGGGGCGGCATGGTGGTGCAGTGGTTAGCACTGTTGCCTCGCCCGTCTGGGACCTGGGTTCGAGTCTCCATCTGGGTCACATGTGTATGTGTATGTGTATGTGTATGTGGAGTTTGTATGTTTTCCCCATGTCATCGTGGGGTTTCCTCCGGGTACTCCGGTTTTCCCCCACAGTCCAAAGACATGCCGAGGCTTATTGGAGTTGCTACATTGCCCTTAGGTGTGCATGTGTGAGTGAATGGTGTGTGAGTGTGCCCTGCGATGGGTTGGCCCCCCAGCCAGGGTTGTTCCCTGCCTCATGCCCATTGCTTCCAGGATAGGCTCCAGACCCCCCACGACCCAGTAGAATAAGTGGGTTGAACAATGGATGGATGGATGGATAGTTATAATAATAATAATAATAATATACAACATAGATATTAAGAATATATACAACAAAAAGATCTGGATGGCATGACAAGAAATTAAAAAGTATTTTGTTGAATATACTAATACAACAGTCATATAGTGTGCGTTCCATGAGATGTGATTTTGTTGCAATATAGTTAAAGGAAATGATTTATTCGCTAGAATTAATTAATTATTATTATTATTATTATTATCTACTTCTCATTGTTCAGTCATGGAGGCTGACTTCCTTTATGTTGGGCAGCCATCAGTCATTTGGGAGACTGCTGGCAGTGATTGCTGTGGTGATCTTGCCTGAGTGTAACTATTGAAAATGCTCTGATTTTATAAGTGGTCTTATAGCCCTTTTTTTGATAGGTGTATGTTTTTGCATTTGTAATTTTCTGTTTAGTGAACATATTTTCCTTCTGTCTCCCGACACTGGAATTTTTAGGAATTAAGTCTCCATCACCAGAACCTTGATTTGCCTTGTAGCCATCCCTCAAAATCATAGAGCAATCCATATGAGGACAAAATGAACATCATAAATATCTCCACCTTAAACATTGCTCTTCATCTGGGTTTCTTAGCTCCAAATCACTGTAATTATGAAAAACAATTCTACTGATGATTGTATAAAAACGGACAACAAAGACTGTAAAACACTAGACCTGCGTTTTTTGAGCAAAGTCGAACAAAATGTCAAGTAATATTGAAAGAATGTTAATGTGTGAAACTGTAACATGTTTTGCATAAAGATAAATATTAATCCATTGTCAAAACAGTCTGACATATAGATCATTCTATTGCATCTACCATTTGAAACAATAATAATAATTATACAATAGTATAAGTGACTGGCTCAGTGAGAATCTGCGTCTGGTTGTATGAGTTTCTTCTCGCAGTCCAAAGACTAGTTAGGTGAATCAGCATCTCTAAATTGTCCACAGTGGACTGACATCCTGTACAACATTTCCCTGCCTTGTGCCCTGTGTTGCCTCACTAAACTCCAGTACCTCTGAAACCCTGCACTGGCTAATTTGTTGAAAGATGGCTATACCAGAAATTCTCAACCTAGTCCTTAGGAACTGACAAACAGTTAACTACCGGCAGTTGGGAGGAATCAAAAATGTGAACGGTTGGGGGTCCTCAAGGACCAGGTTGAGAGACACTGGGCTACATGCCTCACAATTGGACCACTGTGCAAGTTATCACATCACATTCCTCACATTACAGACACAACCATTCAGAGAATATAAATGAAATCATTAACTGCACCATGAATC